TTGGGGTTTGTGTTTGTTGTGCGGCGGGGAGGGGAGGGGAGGGGACGGGAGGGGAGGGGACGCGAGGAGAGGGGAGGGGGCACGCAGCCGCGCTCTTTTCGAGACGTCATGTTCAACTTGTCAGTTTTGCCGCCTTTTGCCTGATGACCAAAATGCTGAACAGGCTCATGCGGTGAAGGACGCGGCGGACCTGAGTTACCTGGTGACGCTCGTGTCCGGTAAGATCTGAGCCAGATCTTGCTGATCTGGTGATCTGGATGTCCCATTTTGCAGTCCGAGCCGCGGCGGACGTGCGCGGCGCGCTGAGCGATCTTCGGCGCTGCTGGGCCGCGGCTGCGAGGGCGCGCCCTGCAGCGCTGGCAGCGCCCTGCAGCGCCCTACCTGCAGCGCGCTGCAGCGCCCTGTAGGCCGCAGAGGCCCCCCTCCCCCTGCCTCAGGATTGCGGCCTTGCGAGCCGCGGCTGGCCTCAAATCAACCGTTGGCAGCGCGTGCACGAACGCGTGCGCGCTCGCGCACTCACACACACACACACACACACACACACACACGCACGCACGCACACACACACGTACACACACACACACACATTCTCTCTCAACATTTCATCCAACTGAAATGTCCAATCCGCCAGACTGCTGCGTGACGCACACGGCCGGCCGCCAGGCGGCGGCGCTGGCGGCAGTGGCGGGCTACTGCCGGCAGCGCACCCTGGCCGAGCTGGAAGCTGAGCTGGCGGCGGCGGCGCACCCGGCGGCGGCGGCGGACCCGGCGGCGGCGCCTGCGGCGGCGGATTCGGCGGCTGCAGCAGCAGCGCGAGAAGCGGGCGCAGTCGGAAAGCCCTTGTAACCGTCTTCCCCGCCTGAGGGTCGAGAGGTGTGTGATGTTTCAGTTCGTTTGGTTGCAAATTAGGTTGCAGGTTGGTTAACTTCTGGTCGATTTGGTTGCGGTTTTGTGGGATTGCTGCACTCGGAAACAATGTACTTGCTTGTTTGTGCCTGACAGCTCTGGGATCCACAGCTTGCGGCAGAGCCGCCGGGCGGATGCTGTAAGGTTGATGCTGGAATGACACAGCTGTAGCAGCCCCAGACAGGCCACCGGCGAGGCCACAGCCGCTGGCCGCTGCCCCACTGACGGACGCCGCGCCGTGAGGCGGCCGGGCGCCCGCCGGGCGCCCTACGCGCGGTGCGATGGGCGGCGCCGAGCGGCCTGCGACGGACTGCAACGGCGGCGGCGCACAGGGGCGACGGCGGCGGTGCGGCTCACCCACCGCCACAGCTGTGAGGATTGGTCACAGCAGGCTTGCTAGGACGATAGTGCGCCCCAGCATGCTGGTGTTTGTAGCATCACGCGCGGTGGCCGCTAGGGGATGGTCACACATCTGTCGGTGTGCCGCCCCACCAGCGCTGGCTACTGGGTGGTGGGTGGGCCGGCATGGAGGGGTCGTGCGCGGCCCTGCTATGCCTTGCAACTCCCAGACGCATTACGTCGTTTTTCATGGGAATCTCTTCGCCTGGGTCGAACCTGGCCGGGGCAGAGGGGGGCAAAGCATGCGCGATTCACCAGGGGAGGTGCTGGCCAGCTTCCACCAAAATTTTCTTGGCTGCCCCAGGTCATCCGCACGGCCTGGCTGCGAGCTCCTTTGAGCTGCATGCAAGTGAGGCCACTTCATTCTTGCAGAGGTGCTGAAAGTAAGGAGAGGCGCTTTACACTGTTGTGCTGTATTTTCCTGGCCAATGGTTGAGGAACCGGCGCCCCCCCGCCCGCACGCACGCGCGGCGTCCGGGCGGGGGCAGAGGGTGCCCCGTGGGTCGCGGGGGCTGCAGGCATCGAATCATATGGGCATGTGCGCGGGGCGTGTGCGCGCACACGCGCCAAAGTGCGTGCGCGCGCGCCGCGCCCCCCCTCGCCGCGCGCCCGCGCGCTCGGACACGCGGCCTTTGCCCGAAAACAAGGTGGGGGGCTGCGCGAGCGTCGCGTACGCGCACGGCTGGGTGGGGAAACACAGCGCTGCATAATCCAAACGAATTTAACCTGGCGTCGAGATAACCAATGCAAAGCACACCGGGCGGCCCGAAAAAACGGTGACGCGAGGGCAACAGGCGCGGCGCTCCGCACCGCGCGGCCAATTCGCCGGCGCCGGCGCACAGCGCCGCGGCCCGCCGCGCCCCGACGGGCGGCGCCCGGCCCCGACCCTCCAGCGTCGGTTTGAGGGCGGCCGCCGGCGGTGCGCGTCGCGGCGCGCGAACGACGGGAGCGGATACTGTCGGCTGGGCAAAACCCCGGTTTGGCGTGTGTGAAGTCGCGATCTTGCGATCTGGGCGGAAGGCCGGTCCCGAATTAAGCCTCGCGGCATTGTCTTCTTGGAACATCAATCGAAGGCCTCGTCACTTGACACATGTAGCACGCACCTCTCCATCTTCCCACAAAGGCCGCGCACGCGCGCACAGTACGCGGCGCGCCCGTGGGCGGGGCAGCTTAGTAGCCGCCGCCACCGCCACCGTTCCAGCCACCGCCGCCGCCACCGCCGCCCCAGCCGCCGCCGCCACCACCGTAGCCGCCACGGCCACCGCCGTAGCCGCCGCCGCCGCGGCCGCCGCCACCGCCGCCCTCGCGGGTCTGGGCCTCGTTCACACGGATAGTGCGGCCCTGCCGAAGGGGTGGGATCATGGGGCATCAGCAAGTGTAAGCCTCACAGTTGACAGACGCACGACTGGGACGAGGCGCACACGCGCCGCAACAGCGTGCACTGCAGCCCGGCATCAAGGAAGACCACTCGAGCGGCTTCGTCACCGCATCTTGCGCCCCGCAGGCATGTAAATTCAACAATGACATTCCCGGCTGAACAAAATGCAGAAGAAGGGGGAGGCTGCTCCCCCCCTGGGAGCTGTGCAGCCATTCGCCGCCGCACCTGGAACTCCTGGTTGTTGAGGGCGCCCATGGCCGCGGCGGCCTGGTCGGCACCCATGGTGACGAAGCTGTGGTGGCAGATGAGGGGGGGCGCGGGTGCTGATCAGTGAAAGAGTGTGTGTGTGTGTGTGTGTGAGTGTGTGTGTGCATGAGCGCGCGCATGTTTGGAGCCGGGCAAGCCATGATGTGATAGCACAAAACTTGGGAGGCACCCCACGCGCGCATGCAGGCCGCTGAGACGGAAGGGGACGTTGCAGGCGCGCGCACGGCATGAAAGCGGTCTCACCCGAAGCCGCGAGAGCGGCCGGTCTCGCGGTCTGCGGGGTGCGAAGCGAGGCGCGAGTTGGCGAGCCAGGCGCAGGCGTGTCGGTGAGGAACAGCAACGCTGGAGGATTCCAGAGCGGCATGCAGGGCAGCACGGGTCGGCTTAGCATCTCGCACAGGCCTTGGGGCCGTGGCAGTTCTTGAGGCGGCGAGGGCTGGGTGGGCAAGGGCACGGCGGGCGACGCCTCACCGTTGGGGATGAAGGCGTCGGTCACCTCGCCGTACTGGCCAAAGAGCTGGGTGAGGTCATCCTGTGTCATAAGTTGGCCGCATGGGGCGAAACGTCAGGCATGGCGGCGTTGGGATGGGCCGGCGTGGGGGAGGGGTCCATGCTGGCGCGTATGAGGGGTGTCGGAAGGGCCGACGTGCGGCGCATGCGGGGGCATGGGGATGGGGTTGGGGTTGGGGTTGGAGAGAGGAACAACAGGCGGCGCATGCGGGCGCATGCTGGTGCCCTCGCTAGCTGGGCGCGCTCACCGGAGTGGTGCTCCCTTCAAATAGCAGATGGGATCATAGGGTTGAGGGCAGGGGCGGGTGCGGAGGGTCAGGCGGTGGGCGCGCGGGAGGCGGCGGCTGGGCGGCGCACAGCTGCAGCACAGGGGGGCGGCGGCGGCGGTGCGGGCGCCGCTTTCGCACTGGGTCTTGCGGCAGGGGTCAAGGTGGGTGCTCACAGCTCAGGTTTCCGACATACCTGCAGATCGGGTGGGGGTGGGGAGGGGGGGATCGCAACACGTAAGAAAAAGAGCAAGTACTGCGACACGCAGGCCCCCGCCATGGATGAGGGTGCGACGGCACAGCTCTGCCGGCCTTGCGGACGTCATGGGGAGAGCGCGGCTTTCTGAAAAAGGTGCAACATGCATGACACCTTGCGTGTCCAGTGACCTGCTGCGGGCGTGCCTAGGCGGCCGCCGGCGCGGGGCGCAAAATCCCGCTGCCAGATATGCCTGACGCTAAGCGCCTTCTGGGGGGGCGCCAGGATCAAAGATCACGGCTAGGCGCACACAAAGCCCCGAAAGCGAGTGTAAGCATCGTAGAGTGCCCGCGCGGGGTCCACAGAGCCGGGTTCACAACGTCCGAAGCGGGAGGCGGCCCAAGCCCAAGTGGAGCCCCCGACGCGTGCATGCACGGCTGCCCGGCGCTGATCAACCCTCACACGTTGCTACGACATCACTCACATCTTGGTCGACATCTTGGCGAGGAGGGGAGCACGCGCGCCCGGGAGGGAGGCAGTGCTGGGTACGGGTGGGTTCCTGAGAGGAAACCCAAAGAGACAGGACAGGAACAGGGCGATCGAAAGCTAGAAACGCAAGAGGGTGGGTTCGAGGGCCCAGTGGCTCATGTAGCAGCGCAGTTGTTTGTTTCGCGCCTCCCTGTTCGCCAGTGCCCCGTCATGAAGCAACCGGCCGTGTCGTAGAGCGCTCGGAGACACCATTATACAGGTATAAGTGCCTTCACAAGCAGACGCACAAGTTGGTCGGGGTGGTCCAGCGGCCCACCAAGCTTGCAGCGCGAGCAGAGGGGGCGGCGGCCGCATGGCGCCTGCTGCCACCGTGATCCACCATCCACTGCACCAGGACGGCAGCAGCCAAGTGAATTAGCGTCCTGCACGCATGTGTGGGCTTGGTGGCGCGCCGATCTGCTTGGTTCAGGCTGCCTGGCGGGCTACGGACATCTGCTGCCAACTGCTAATGGACTGGGTGCTGAGGTGGACAGCGCCCTTCCCCCTCTCAGCTCTGCTCAGCTAATCAAGGTCATGAAGGCTCTCAGAGCCCCAGATCATCCACATAGCTTGATTACAGCGCGCCCAGGGCTTCTAGACGCCTCCGGCGAGAAGTCCCAGCCGATGCAACGCGGAGCGCACGGCAGCCGCGGGGGCGCCATCGCGGCACGGCGCCGCCGCCCGCGCCTCCAGCAGCGCCGCGGCGCTGTACCGCCTGCGTGGGGCGCCGCCCGCGCCTGCCATTGTTGAGCGGGACGCGGCGCGCTGCGCTCCGGCGTCCTGCTGAACTGCGGCGGCCGGCCGAGGCGCGTCATCCCCTGCAGTTGCAGCAGATGTGACCAGCGGGCCCTGCTCCTGCCGGCCAGCCCGCCCTGCGCCCTCTCCCGCCGTGCCAGCCGCCGCAGCTGCGGCACGACCGGCGGCGGCCTCAGCTGCAAGCGCGGCCTGCAGCTCGCACCATGCCGCCAGCGCCGAGGCGGCAGATGGGCGGACGGTCCCAGTAGCGCCCGCCTCATGCGCCCCCGACTCATGCGCCCCCGCCGTCAGCGGACCCCCCGACCCGAGCAGACTGACGCCGCAGGCGCGGCAAGCCAGCAGCTGCGCGGCCGCGCGCACGGCAGGATGCGGGCGCGCGTGGCCCGGCCGACCAGGCGCGGGTGCCCCAGCAGCGGCCGCGTCTGCGCCCGCGGGCGCGTCTGGTCGCTCTTCGTCGCCCTCTGGCGGCGCCGCGGCGCCGCCGGGCGACTGCGATCCGAAGGGCTCGCCTCCAGCAGCCTGTAGCAGAGGCCCGAGCTCCAAAAGCAACTGCGCCGCACCGCCGACGCCCTCGCCCGCGCCCTCTCCTGCGCCGCCGCCCCGCTGCCCCACGCCGCCCCCGACCTCCCCCGTGCCGGCCCTGCCCTCCCCCGTGCCGCCCGCGCCGCCGGGGCCACAGCCGCACGCGCGCCACGCGCGCTCAGCTAGAGCCTGAAGCTGCGCAGCGTCGCGCGCGGCGCGATTCCCAGGGCCGCCCGCCGCCCCGCCGTCGACGTCGGGACCGCCGGCGCCCGCGCTGCTGCCTGGGCGGGGGCCGGGGCCGCCGCCGCCGGCGCCGCCGCTGTCGGACGCGATGGCGTCCGCCGCGTCGAGCAGGCTGCACGAGAGGTGCAAGATGGCGTGCGCCGCCGCCGCGCCTTCTTCGAGACGCGGCCGCCGCCGCTGCCGCTGAATCGGCCGCCCCTCCGCCGACTTCTCCCCTTCTGAGTGCTCCCGCTCGTCGTCGCCGCCCCGGCCGCCGCCCGAAGCCGCCTCGGACCCGCCCTGGCACCCGCGCGGCCGCCCCGCCGCCGCTGCCGTGGCCGCCGCCGCCGCCGCCGCTGCCAGGGCCAGGCCTGCCTCGAGATGCCGCCGCGTCTGGGCCAGCCGGCACGTCTCGCGCAGGGCGTCGAGCGCGGTGTCCAGCAGCTCCCCTCGCTGCTGCGGGTCGGCCTCTGCCTGCGGTGCGGGCGCAGCAAACGCGGCGGGTCGGGGCGTGGCGAGGGCGAGCCTGAGAGCGCCGCGGCGCGGATCTTCGCATCGAACGCGGCTGCAAATCAAACTGTTACCCTACATGGGCGCTCGCGCCGCGGCGCCGGCGCTTGCCGCCGGCGTTGTTTTGTCTGATCCAGCTGCAAGCCCGTTCCCCGCCTGCGGCGCGCGCGGCGCGGGGCCTGAACACCTGATGGCCGCGGAGGGCGACCTCTGCAGCGGCGAGCGCGGCGCCCGCGGTGCCGCGCCGCAGCAGCGCGCCCGCCGCGCTGCTGGTGCGGCCCGCTGCGAGGTAATTCGCGGCGGCGGCCTCGAAGTGGCCTTTCGACTGTGCGTGCGCGGCGTACGCCGCGCGCAGGTCGACACACGCCGGGTCTGCGGGCAGCAGGTGCGCCGCCGCCACCGCCAAGGCCTCGCGCCACAGGCCGGCGCGGCGGTAGGCGTCGACCGCGCGGCGCGGCTGGCCGATCGCGAGCCGCAACGCGGCGGCGCGGTGGACATCGCCGGCTGCTTCTGCCTGCGCGGCGGCGGTGCGCGACGCAGTCTCCCAGGAGCGGCCTGTGCCTGCGCGCGGGTTGCGGACATCATTGGCGGCACCAGGGGCGGCGCCGGTGTTGGTCACCTGCGACCACTGCGGTGGATGCAGATGCAATGCCTTTGAGTCTGTCAACCTGATATTACCTGAAATACCAGCGAGGAGCGCTAGGTCCAGGGCGCGCTCCGTGACTAGCAGATCACAGGCCGCCCGCGGCTTCCCTGAGGGCACAAGACCAACGGCATCTTTGGTGTTACTGCTAGCACCTGGGGGCGGGCTCGAAGGCTGCTGGCCGAGGGCCATGGCACGGAGCGGAGCTTTGGAGTGTCAAGGCTGGCTACGCGTGCATGTATCTGCGGCCGTGTGGGCAAGGTCGTGCGACTCGTGCACTAAATTATGAGATGTATCCTGTGCACTGCTGCAAACTCCAATACTTGGACGAGTGCTGGCCTAACTTCAGACGGGATTTGACCGGGATTTGGCAGTCAAGATTGATACCAGGTCAACTGCGCTGTTGCACAAGAACAAGACCTGATCCACAGACCAAGGAAGATATCAGAAGGCACAGGCACATTGCAAGCTAGCTTGTCAGCAAGACTTTGTTAAACACAAAGGTCACCGAGCACACTTGAGTTGAAGGACACACTAGCTGAAAGGAATCCCTCGTAAAAGAGTGTTTGCACAGCTGCTTACGGGAATGCCAGAAGAGAGCATTGCAAAGTGCGCAATGCGGTGGGTGGTGTGGAATGGAGAGTATTGGAAGTGTCAGTGAGCAAGTGAGTTGGTGGGAACAATGTCAACACAACATGTTGTGGAAAGCAGGTTGCGCCTGTGGGCTTTTCGGTGGTGTGTGCCACAAAGCACTTGTCCGTAAAACAATGTAAACAAGATAGCAGCAACTCTCTAGGAACATCACATATAAATGCTTTGCACAACATGCCATCTTGGCATGCAACTGTGCAGTGAGATGTGCAACTTAACTGTCAGGTAGATAGCAGTGAGACTTCACCTTGCATCCAATCAGCCGTCAATCTCATTGCGGAGGGTAACGACCTGCTGTTTTAGCTGCACAACCATTCCATTTCATGGCTTACACAAATGCACGATGTTGTGTTGGGTACAGCAAGAAGGGCATACCGGTCTGGCAACAGGCAGGCGGGCTGCATCAATTGGCATGCAAGCCCTGCTGATTGAATGAGAGCGCCCCCACAACCACAGAACAACTCCACCAATGGCAGCAATTGCTGCTCATTGAAAAAAGAGCGACATGAACACACAAGCCACATGCAAACACACAACTTGAAACAAGGAGTTGGGGTGGAAAATCTCGTGAACCAGGAGTTGGGAGAAGCCTCACGCCAGAATCACAACCAGTCAGTAGGGCGCGTGCGAGTGTTGCAGCACGTATCGAGAATCGCCAAACCAACATTCACTCGAGTAATTCTCTCTCATTGCGTGTGTGCCGATCCAGCATCCCCACCAGATGTGACTTGCGAGTCTGTCACAGCAGTGAACACTCGAACTCAGATCAGAAGCCGCTGGCAGCGCCCAGGAAGCCGGAGAATTTGAGCCACATGATGATCTGAACAAGAAGGGGCGAGCAGAGGACACAAGTCAGCACCGGTCCTTGAGCAACACCGAAAACACTCAACCCGAAAAGCTGCAGGTACAACAGCACGCACGGTACTCTCGAGGCAGCTTTCACAGCCAACACCCCCCAAAACAGAGGCACAAGCATAACACCAACACAAAATCGACACACCCCAGTAGCAGTTCACGCTTTCTAATGTGATCATTGCATAAGTGCTATTGCGATTATTGCCCCTGCCCACCTGCATGATAATGCCCTTGTCAGTGGCAGCCTCAACAAGGACAGCCGCCAGGAAGCCCAGCATGGCAGCGCGGCCGTTGGTCAGCTCCACATCCCGCGCGTACTGCTTCTCAAAGCTGCAGGCGTCGCGACGAGATAGAGAGAAAGAGCAGACGAGTCAGCTGAGTGAACACAACAAAGACAGAAAACAAACAAGATTTTCAAGCAATGCACGCTTCTTTTGTGGTGTTGCTGCACACAGCCCCAGGGTCTCTGTGCACATCCATCTTGCAGTACGCTCGAGCCCAACCTTTGACAATTCCTATATTTGACAAGAGCAGGTACATGGACATGCACAACTGCCGGCATCGGCTCACGCCGCGCAAGCAACGTGCTGCGCCGGCAAAGCCTGGGCGCACCTGCCGCTGAACTGGGCCTCCTCCAGAATATCTGCCTTGGCCGCCAGCGACACAGCCGGGCCGGCAGTCTTGCCGGCCTTCATCTCCGCCAAGGCGGCGTTGACCTTCGGCGTGATATACGGCGTGATGTGAGAGAGAAGATGGGTTCACTCCTCAACCCTCAAGCATTTTGCTGCACACGTGCCGCCGACTTGGCCCGTCACACAGTGGCGTCAAGGGTGGCAGGCGCGCCAAAAAATCAGCCAACCCCTCAACTCTACTCCATAGTATCCTCCCTCGGGTGGTAGGCATCATCCCCAACCCCGTGCACACCACACAGTAACCAGCAACACACCTGCGCGGCCTCCTGCTCCTTGGTCAGGGTCAGCACACCGCTGTCAGCCGCCTTCATCTCCGCCGCGGCGGCCGAGCCCTCGGCGACCTCAGAGGTCGACAGGAACGCGTCCGCGGGCGACCCCGCGGCCTTCGCGGCGGCGATCGCCGCCAGGTCGTTGCCGGGGGTGGTGAAGTCGCCCTTGCGCTGCAGAAGGTTGGTGGGTTGCGGTCAACACGGTCAATCTGCTGCGTGCTCGTTTGGACAAACAAGGCGTCACGTCCAATAGTTGGTCGCCTGTCCGCCTGTGACGCTACAGCGTCGCAAGCGTGGTTGGTTGCAAGTCCACCACCCAAGCTACAGGGCTGCGCACATGTACATGATCATGCCTTGCCTTGCACACGCAAGGCACACGCAGCAGGATTGCCTGCAGCACACCTTCATGGCATTGGCGGCCTCGATGAAATCGTTGCCGTTGTTGAGGCCCAGGAAGTTCTTGTAGCGGGCGATGTCCCTTGAGGAAAAGTGGGGCAGATTGAGAAATAGGCACAGGTCAGAGCAATGGCGATGCGGCGCTTCGTCGGCGGGCGCACACCCGGGCTCCTTCCAACGACGCGTGTGGCATGCAGCATCCTCGCCGCAACAAGGAGGGCAGGGACAACACAAGAGCCCTGTCTTGACACTCAAGACCACAGCGTTCCCGGCCCCCAAGACAAGAGTTCGCTCTCACTTAGCAGTCATCTTCTTCTGCGCGAGCTTGACGGCGGTCGAGGCGGTGCCCGCAACCAGGGCAACGCCCAGCACGCCCAGCAGGCCGGCCAGCAGGCCGGGGGACGGCTCAAGGCCGATCTGGCGGAGGGTGCCCTGGCCGGTGGTGGCCTCCTCCACGATTGAGGTGACAAAGCCCATCATGGCCAGGCGGCCGACCCAAACCTGGCGACGTGATGGGGGGTCAGAGCGGGAAAATTTGAAAATTTACGGGCAGGCTTGGCAAAGCGGGCGGGGGCTACCTGATTGCTGGTCCAGCGTGCGGGGGCATGCGAGCGGAGAGGGGGGGTGGGGCGGGTGGCAGAGCAGGGTGGCAGAAGCGCGTACCTCGGCAAAGGGACGGAAGCCGAAGATACCCTCGCCGGTGGGGAGGCCGATGGAGTCGGCGAACTGGGGTTGGGGGCGCAGGTGTTGCGATTGTGGGGTTTGCTGGCTGGGGTGGGCAACAGGTATTGGGCCGCCGTGACCAAGGAGGCCACCATCGCACAGGTGCAGCTGCCAAGCCCCTGCAGCATGCCTCACTCCGAACACGGGGAACGAGAGGACAGCGGCGCGCTGCGCCCGGCGCTGGCGCCGTTCGCGCGGCATAGATGCATGCCTGTGTGCCTGCTACGAATGTCATAAATACAGAATATGCCATGCCGACCACGCCCACACCTGCGCGACTCCGCTCTTGGAGGTGCTCGAGGCGCGCACCACCATCCTCAGGGGGCGAGAGGCAGGCGCACGGGGCTTGCGTACAGCCCTATTCATGCTGGGCTTGACGGTAGCCATGCTGCGAGCCATGAGAGCGGCCATGATGTGTTGCTTGCGGAGACGAGTTCCGTGGGTGGCTGACTTGCGAGAGCTGAGGCGCAGAAAGTGAAATGTATCTGTTGAACGATGTGATTGATTGTGACGTTGCAAACTTCCAATGTATTAAAGTCAAGGGTCGACCCCTGGTGTCCTGAGGATTTTTGTGGCGGCGCAGCGAGTGGTTGACGGCAGCAGCCCCGGTCCGCATCGCTGTAGGCGCTTCCGGGGTGCCCTTATAGAGTCAGTGTTCTTGCCATCATACAGGACGGCCTCACTCTCATTTTCACCGGTTCATGGCAATGTTACAACATAGCATCCCCGCCGTGGCACTCCTGCTGCCGCCCTTGTGGCTATCTGGCCCCAACTTCTGCCTGACCTGTCGGCCACATGCGCCCAGGGTGAGCCCCGGCACGTCGTCGGCCCCAGCACCCCTGAAGCGATAAAATAGTAGACATTGGTAAACATCGCGAGGCTGTGGAATGTGCGGGCCTCGAATCAGCGTTTTCTGGGGCGTTCACACCCGCCCCCAGCCCCAGCGATACAGGAATGACATTCACATGGCCACCCCACCTTTCGGACTGCAACCATGCGCCGGCCGTCGCAGCGCGCGACGCACCGCACCGCACCCCGTGTTATGTGCATTCCCCACACGCCTCGTTGCGACATAGGCAGTGAGATGTTGATATGTGCAGCTGTCAGTATCTCAAACTAGAAAAAATCCCGGCCTACCCTCTGGGTCAGCTCAGACACCCCTTGCCTGTCTCGTCGCCCTGCGCCCGCCCCGCTTCACTGGCTGCAACAGGCCCAGCAAATGACACCCACCCGCTGCCACGGCCAGCAAATCTCGTTTCCAAAACATCCGATTACAGTTTTCAGGGGGATGAAAGAAGTGCGGCAAGTCAAACACGCTGGCTGGCAGCAGGAAACTGCCGTTTGTTTTCAAAAAAGGACGAGCAACAGGAATGAAGAAGGCATCACAGGGCAGGGCGCGGACGCAGCACCAGGGCTGCGGTAGGCTTATCATGCTGTTGCGGCGCGTATGACCGCGGCGTGCGTTTGCAGCAGTGTTGTGCGTTCCGAGCGGCCCTGCGGGGCGCCCTGCCAGTGTTTAAGGGGGGTGATGCGAGGGGGTCCCTCTTTCGCAGCGCCGTTTCGGCGCGCGCGCGGGCTCTTCGGTGGGCGGTCGCTTGTGCCAGCGCCGGAGCCCGCAGTGTTGGTTTTTTGGGGGATTTTTCAACCCCACCAAATTCAGGGTGGAAGCCCCCCCCCTTGCAACACACGACTAAATGCAGCCAAAACAGCCTGCATCGGGTGTTTGCGTGGCGGGGCTGACGGCCCAGTCGGCCGCGCATGAGAAGCGCGCGTGCAATCGGCGCAGCTCGGGGTGCCCGCGACGGTGCCCGCATGGGGGGCCGCCGCCGCAGCGGTCAACGTTCAGGATGCAGCCGCGCGGGCGCATGCCGCCCCGCGGGTGTTGCACCGCGGCACGTGGGTGGGTTCGGCGAGGCGGGGCCGTCCGGCTGCCCTCAGGGGGCGCGCGGCGGCGGCTATGATTAGGAAGCAGCGGCGACAAGCCGCAGCTGCGGCAGGGTCAGCTGGTGGGAAAAAGAAGGGCGACTCAAGGTCGGAAAACGAAGGGCGGACGCAGGGCGATGCAGGAAATGGCAGCCCGGCGGGCCGGGCGCGTCGGGGGGGCGGGGCGGGCTTTCGGGTTTCAGGCGGCGGCGCCGCCCTTGCCGTGCGTGCCGCCGAGCGCGGCCCGCGACAAGACGTCGGAGAGCACGCGCCGCGCGCGCGTGACGGGGTGCCAAGGGAACAGCGCGTCGTGCGCCGAGTGGTCG